AGCCGCCCCGGTGGCAGGTGGTGCAGCAGCAGCAGGAACGGCTGCGGCAGCAGGAGCAGCACATGCACCAGGCAAGGCTCCAACCAGCCCACCCCCCAGCCCCAGCCCCTCTGGCTTCCACCCTTACTCTGAGCCCTTCTCTTCTGGGGGAGGACAGGAGCACCTGAGTCTGGCCCAGCAGAGATTGCAGCTGGACCGTGTCCGGCAGGACCTGCCCTCTGGCCTCGCAGGGCTGCTGCCCAGGACTCCTGGCCCAGCAGCCTCCAGCCTAGGTGGTAAGTGGCTCCAGAAGGAAGCAGGGTCACTGGACAGGGTTATGCCAGGAGCAGGCAGGACCTCCTGCAGACACTAGTTAGGGGCCAGCTGGATCCTAAAGTACATTTTTTTTTTAATTGTCTGAGGGTATATGCACTCACCAGAGAGAGAGAGAGAGGGAAGAAACAAGCCTCCAGGTTTGAGACTCGAACCACAGTTGGCCATGTGGGAAGTCCAGTGCCTTAACCACCACGCCACCTGCTGGCCCCTGCCTGGTGTGACTTCTTTATTTTTTTGAGAGGTTTTTGCTATAGGGCATGTGTGCTTGCCAGAAAGACAGAGAGACAGAGAAACAGAAAGCAAGAAATCATACCCCAGGGGGATAGCCACGCTGCATACCCTTCTCCATTCTCCTCTCGGGATCTTGGGCACACACGCACACGCGCCTGTCGTGAGTTTAAGCCACCAGTTTAAGCCATCAGGTCCGCAGTCCACTACGTGGGAGTCCAGTGACATCGCCATTACGCCAACTGCTGGTCCCCACTAGTGTGACTTTTAAGCTGCCAGGTCCAGGACTCAAACCACAGTCGACTCTGTGGGAGTCCAGAAATTTTACCATTATACCATTTGCTGGTCCTTATATACATGTTTTTAAAAGTAAAATTGGGGCCAGCAGGTGGCATGGTGGTTAGCAGGGCACCAGACTCCCACGTGGCTGACTATGATTTGAGTCCCAGACCTGGCAACTTGCTTTCTCACTTTCCCTGCCTCCCTCTCTCTCTCTCTCTCTCTCTCCCCCTCTCTGGTCAAATTAAAATAAATAAATAAAGTTAAATAAAAATAAGTCTCTTAAATAATAATAAGTAAAATCAGGATATATCATAAATTTTATAGTTTTTCACTTTGTAATATATGTATGACAAATGTCAGCGTGTCAGTGATTAAACATTTAATCAGCTCTTTAAAATGTTTTTTTTTGTTTTTTTTTAATTTGGTATAGGGCACGTGCGCTTGCTAGAGAGGGGCAGAGGAACACGCGAGGAACCACCGACAGAGGTGGCACATCGCAGGCCCTTCTGCCCCCTTGTCTATGCGCCCTGCGTGTTTTCCAAGCCACCAGGTCTAGGACTCAAACCATGAAGTTAGCCATGTTGAGATCCAGCTGCCTTAACCACCAGGCTACCTGGGTGACCCTAATCAATTCTTTTTTTTAAAGATTTTTGTTTTGTTTATCCATTCTTTTTCATGAGAGAGACAGGTGGTCCCAGCAAGGGCTCCATGCCACTATCCACCCTGTCTCAACAGGCCTCAACCACAGGCGCCCACGTGTGCCCAGCGTGCTCACGGAGGTCCCGGGACATGAGTCAGGACTCTTCCCGTGTGGGTGCAACTGTGCCCCTACTGCACCAGCTCCTGGCCCCCCAGTCAGATCTTTTTTTTTTTTTTTTTAAGAGTTTTTTGGGGTTTTTTTCCCCTAGAAAGACAGGGAGAGACAGAA